ATATATATATATATATATATATATATATATATATATATATATATATATATATATATGGGTTGATTTTGATCATGTGTTTTGTTGCGTCTCCCCCTCTGCTCTCAGGTCGACCTGCTTTCTGTCACAATCTTAATTCTGTGGTTTCAGTTGACGAAGCGTCTCTATTTGTGCTTCCTTGAAGAATCTTCCTCGTCGGTAAAAGAAGCGGCGTTCCGCGTGCAGAAACGGCGCCGCTTCCTTTCGACTTTAGACGGCTGGATTTTTGCGGTCGCTGCATTTTTACGCCGCTCCGACCCGGTTTGTGGTTCCGCTGAACTCGTCAGTGTTTGAAGGAAGTCTTTGTTAAACAATCAAGTGTTGCTGTTGTTTTTTCTTGGATGTCTACCATGTATTTAGTTTGTTTAAATGCTTTAATCAGCTTCCACAGCATCACATGCTTTAACATGGTACGTTGTTACTTTCAGGTTTCAGTGAACGTTGCACATCATTTCAGATTGTCTCCGTCAATCTGTCAGCTCTCTAGCTGCTGCTGTTACATGATTATTTGGACGGACATCCTGCCGTCTGGAACGGTTCTGTACAATCACACGGATACTTCTACTACAAAGTTACAGGAACAGCTGTCTATTTTTTTTATTTTATCTTGAGGCGCTGGCCGTACCTTCAGCACCATCATCAACGCCTGATTCAGTACCAGAGGTTTCTGTGACTAACTGGAGTTTTTATTCATTTGTTACAAATCCAAGCTCTGGAAACAGAGTTTCTTTTTTGTGCCTTTTTTTTTTTTTAGCCGGTGGTTTTGAAATGAAATCGGAGGAGGAGGAATAAGAACCGAGGTCAGTTCCTCCTCCAGCTCCAGACCAGTGGCTCCTAACAGAGCAGGTTTGTTAGAATGGAGTCGGTCGCAGATCTTTGTTAATTAAAATGAAGCAAATCTCCATCCTCATCTGAGAGAGATTTTTTTTTTCCTTTTCTTTTCCCACTCATTAAATTATGGAGGCGAACCATAATCATCACCCCCTCACCACCATTCATGATCTGGTTGTTATAAAGCAGAATGTATTAGCTTGAATTTTTATTTTCTTTTTTTGTGCTTCATCATATTTATAAAAAATCTCTATTTTCAACATTTCAGCATCGGTGGAAAGTGCAGATCAAAAGTATTTTGTTTTTTGTATTCAGTTATACGACTCTGTAAAACAGCTTTAAACACGTCAATAAATATGTTCCAATCTCTGACTGGATGCGTCTTCCTTCCTAAATTCATTCAAACATTTCAAACTCTGTTTCCTTCCACTGCAACCAGAAACCATCACCAGTTCAATCTACAGGTACATGCAGACATTTACGGTAAAATTATTCATAAATAATTAGGGATGCACGATATTGGGATTTTGGCCGATATCCGATATGCCGATATT